TTTTAAAACATACTACTCATCAAAGATATATATAATTGATTAGTAGTTCACAAACGAATAAATCTTTGTTTGTGTTGTTTGTGTTTGGCTTGTTAACTTAGCGAACAAGCCGAACACGAGTTTCTTAACGAGTCGAACACGAGCTGCTCGAGAACAACGTGTCGTATTTGACAGCCCTAACGACAACAACGTAATAAAACATTCAAGTTAAAATAATATTTAATTTTTGAAAAAAAAATTATCATTTGCACATGCATAATTAAGAAATTCCCAAAAAGCCCCCACATTATTTTCATAATAATATCTTGACAATTGTTTATAATTGTAGTTATAAGTAAAAGATTAATTAAATGTGCAATTTTTCAAAAGGCGACAGATTTATGGAGCAACATTGCTGAATATTTAATGAAATTTAGCTGCTTTTTTGCTGTAGTTAGCTGCATTGAATATTTATGACAGAGTGAATTATTTGATTAATAATGATGGCTTGACCAATTCATATGAAAAAGAAATGGTAAAATTAGAAGGCATGTGATCTTATTGATGGTTTCAAAATAAAAAAAATGGTTGCTTCATATCATGAAAAATACATTAATTTTTTTTTTTTCTATGGAAGAAATTTTTATTTCTATTTTTTTTTATCAAATATATAATTTTGATCTATATGAAGATATAAAAGATAAATTTAAGGTGTTTTCAACATAGAGAGGCTAAATATAATGATCCAAAACTAGACAATTTTTGAAATTAAAAATAGTATCCTTAACTCTGCTAAAATTGCAAATGAACCTAACTTGATCAAGTTTAGTGTTTGTTGTGTTTGGCTCGTTTAGAAATTTATTAGTTCAATTCAAAATTGTTAGTGAGTGGCGAGTTTGCTTTCTTTTTTGTTCATTTGAATTCATGTAATCGTGTGTGAATTGTGTTCAACTCATATTTGAAAGAGGAAAGAGTGCATAGTAGAGAATAGAAATAACATAAAGAATAAATAGCTGGGAATAAACAAAAACAACTATATAGTAAAGTATAATTTTGATATCTCTATGACAAGTATGTACAGTCCTTATATAAAAGATATGGATACTCTGAAAAGAGTTGTTGTAGGTTGTTACTAGTTGTTTTTCAGGGGGGGGGGGGGGGATTAGGATCATGTGGTTGAGTTTTTTAGAAAACTGCTCTTTATATTTTGAATATGTAGTAGTGTTATCTCATCACCCCGCACACTGAAACTAACAGGTAGCTGACATAGTGTGAGCCTGTGACGAAGCATCAGAAAGCGAGGAGTTGGCAGGGTTTGGTAAAAATATCAGTTAGTTCATCATCAGTGGATATATAAGCAATCGTTGCCTTTTTTAATGGAATGTATTTTCATATAAGAAGTTATCAATTTCTATGTGTTTGTTCTTGCGTGAAAAATTATATTTTACACAAGTGTCATGGAAAGTGTGTGTCACAATAAATGATAATGAGCTTATAGATAAAAGTTATTTGAGCCAGATGACATTTGTGGATGTTGTTGCAAGAGCTCTATATTTAGCTTTAGTTGAAGATCACACAACTATTGGTTGCTTCTTCACAAGCTAGGAGATAAGATTACTTTCAATATTGGGCAATGGCTGATAATTGAATGACAATCCAAAGAATTACTAGCCTATCTTTTGTCAGAGTACGAGTGAAATAAAAGAGGACCTGACTGAATATGAAGTCCAATTTCAAGTAAGTCTTTGTTGTAGCGGGGTACTCTTTTGAGTTGTTAAACGTGTATACAGAGTTGTTTAATAATAAATATTATGTCTAACCTTGTAATAAGGATTTTCAACTGGTTACTGAGATGTACGATTGGGCTTTGTTGTGGAGAAAAGAGGATTAGAAAGGATTACTGTCAGCCAAACCTGCTCTCTAAAGAAAAGCAACATAGTGTGTTTGGGAAATAATTAGAGTATTAGTGGTGTGATGAACATTAATGCTAAGGAGGGTGGAAACTTTTCCTAAAATTTTCATTGATAAATGGTTATGTAGATCATTCACTAACCATTGAATAAGTTTGTTGTTCTTTCTAATGAGTAAAATATAATCCACATAGAGTAAAAGTTAGATTAAATTGGAAATTTGTTGATTGAGTAGCAATGAGGGATAAACTTGGTCGTGTTTGAAACCAAATCTGATGAGATGATTTGTAAATGTGTTGAACCATTGCCTTGGAGCTTGCTTGATGCCATTTATAGCTTTTTTTTTGTAGGAAAACATGGTTTGGATGTTGAGGATCACTATGTCCAAGGATTGTTTCATTTACAGTTTCCTTAAGATGGCCATGAAGAAAACATTTAAAACATCTATTTGGAGAATGTGCCACTAGCGATGAAGAATAATTGTAAGTAATATTTTTATAGTGAGAAGTTTCACAACTGAGTTGAATGTTTCTATATAATTCAGCTCCAATTTATGTTGAAAGCCTTGAGCAACTATACTGGCTTTATATTTGACAACAGAACCATTAGCCTTTTATTTTCTTTTATAAGTCCACTACTTCCAAGAATTGGATGAAGTGAAGGTGTAGGAAAAAAGATCCACGTTCCTTGATTCTGTAGTGCTTTAATTTTTGTGATGGCTTGTCTCCAGTGATTGTATTTTGCAGCATGTGAACATGTACAAGGTTAAATTTTAGTACCTAATGTGTGTTGTTAATTGAAAATACATTTTGGTGGTAGACAACTTGTTTTTGACCTAAAGGACATGTATTGTCGAGTTAGAGAAGAATTATGTAGTGAGGAGGTTGAGTAATGGATTGGGTAATAATGATTGTTGGATGTTTGGAAGTATGTTTGCTGAGGTTGTAGGAATAGAAGGTGGACTGGTAGAGGATTATGGAGCGTTGAGATTAACCGAAGTGGGTAGTGTGAGTGGTGGAGGTGTATGAGAGGAACTGATTTTAGTTGGTTTAGTGGGTTTTTTCTTGTATGGCAAGAGGCTCTCATTGAGTAACACATTTCCAAATTAAAAAATTCTACTTATAGTATGGTAAAATTTTTTGTAGCATTTTCTAATTTCTAAATAGCCAATAAAAATATAAGGTATAGCTCTTCGCTCAAGTTTATTTCTGTGAGTTGGTGGCAGCCATTGAAAGCATGCCCAATACTAAACTTTGTTGTGTTGATATTCAGATGAGACTCCATATAAAAAAAGTTATGAGGATTTACAGTTGGTTGTGTGAGAAGATATTCTATTTAATGGTACACAACAATGATAATGTCGACCTCACTTTTGGTTAACTCCTCATTCACTTAAAAAATCTAAGATAAATTTGAAATAAGAAAGACAAAATGAAAATCAAACATAATTAGCTTCAATCAAATCCTACAATCAGACGATAATATAAATTCACGCCTGAAATGAACTTAAATAAATTTCAAACTCAAAATATCATTAACTTAAGTTGAAAACATACAAATTTACCAATTTGAAGTTCATTTGAACTCTAATTAAAAGTTCATTTGAACTTTTTGTTAGGTAGGATGAGACCCACACCTTGACCTAAATATTCTCACCATGGAGACCGATTTGACTTAAACTAGTTCCTCTATTGGATTCCATGATTTTTTTTTTTTTTTGAGTGGGTTAGGTTGTCATTTTGGCCAGAACCCTCAATTTCAGTCCTTAGGTGAAAGTGTTTCAAGGTGGCGCACCAGCGCCGCCTAGGGTCATGATCGTTCAACCGTGACGTAAGGAGGTGCTCCCGTATCTCCTAAGGTGCCTGTAGCGAGGCTCGCGCTGTGGTGAGGCACACCCACTCCTCCTAAGAGAAGTATAGCGATGGCCCACAATATTGAGGTGCCCCCTCACTGTAAAAGTAACCAGCATGGGCGCAGTGCAATCATGACAACCCCGCACCAATTTCCTTGAGCATCCTCGAGCCAACCAATAGTTCAACCATGTAGATGGCGATTTGTTAGACTCTCGTTCGATTTTAGGACCCAAGCATCGTGTCCCTTCTCAAGAATGATCTATGGGAGCTCCAATTGTTCCTGCTCTAGCCAACAATAATTTGAGGATCGATCCTTAGGAGGTCTAATCGTTCCCACTCCAGCAAACGACGATATGAGGATCTTATAAATAATGTATGGTTTTAAATGATTTGAGTGCCAAAATGACTTTATAATTTAACAATCATGAGCTCATTGGATTCCTCTTGTCGAGAAGCTCTATTTGTCTATAAATATGTTAAATTTGAAGTTTATTTGATCATTCAATAAACGATCAAAAGCCTCCAAATGTGCTTCAATGGTTTGATCTAGGCTTGATTTGACCAAGATTAAACTAATTTTGATATCATTGGGTTCGGCTTGTCAAAACGGTTAGTTTGACCAGAAGCTTGTTGAAATTTGGGCTCATATGATCACGAATTTGAATTTAGAAGATGTTTCAAAAGAAAAACATCGAGGTTCTTGCTTGATAAAAAAAATTATTGATGACACATCAAGTATGCATGTGTCTATCATATATATATTTATATCCTGGTTTGTCATTGAATCACAACTAGGGGATAGAGTCTAAGATAGGAGAAAGAGAGAGATAGAGAGGGGAGTGTACAATAATGAATACTAATTTTAAATGTTGATTAACCTTTTTTGAAGAAATGATCCACCTATTTAGACGTGGGGATACAATATTTGAAGATTCATATTTATCACTACCTTACTGAGGGTGTTATGAGATATTTGAAGATTCAAATTTGTGTAAACATTTATCTGACCTATAACATATATATATATATATATATATATATATATTATCCCATTTAAATTTTCTCAAATCAAAACAGACGGCATTCAATGCAGCTGAAGAACAAGATGCCCGAGATAAGACGCAGGGAAGAAAGTTACGTCCGGAATATATTTTACACGCAAGGATTGACGCAACCACAGTCGCACACGTGGACGGTGGATATCCAATCACGTCCTCCTCTCCCTTCTATAAATGGAGATCTCCCCCTTCCCACATCTAAGCTTAGAAGTCCCATTTCCATCATTTTCTTCAGAAAAAACAGATAAACAAAATGTCTTGCTGCGGTGGAAACTGTGGTTGTGGCTCCAGCTGCAAGTGCGGCAGCGGCTGCAACGGGTACTATTTATTTATTTATTTATTTATTTATTTATTTCATTCTATTTATTTATTTCAGGGCTTATTTTCTACTTTTATTTTTTTTAAATTATTTATCAGGTGCAATATGTACCCTGGTTTGGCTGAGGAGAAGCTCAGTACTGCTGAAACCATGATCCTTGGCTTTGCACCTGTCAAAGGGTATTTATTTAATTTATAATATTTTTTTTAAATATTTACATATATCTAATACCTAATATTTCATATTTCATAACTAATTTAT